ACACCCTTTCCCATGTGCCCCTTAAAATGTGGCACTTGGAACAAAGCCCACTGTTCCTGATGTATGTGACCAGTATATAGCACAGTGGAGCTCCAGCTTTCTCAGTCTTAAGATCTGTGCTTCTGGTCGTGCATCTTGATATTGGTGACTTAGTTTGGTGGCCATATTACATGGTCAACTCACGTTAGACTTAGATCTGCTATAACTCATGAAGCTATGAATAGTAACTGCTGGTATACCAAGTCTGTTCCATTCTGCACATCCTCTATTTGATTTTTAAAGTTAGGGACTTCATGAAATTTCATCTTATTAGCAGGTCATCCTTCAATCCTGTTAAGATCTTTATCCATCTCCATATCACCTGTCTCTAACAATGATACTTAGTTTTGTCTTGCTCTTTAAGGTTTATGTAGCATTTTCACATAAAATCTCATTTTGTTGTGTTGACAAACCATGCTACATGTGTATTGTCATTTCCATTTTACAGCTGAGAAAACTGATCCTCAAGAAGGGTGCATTACTCGAGATCACTTCATGAATGACCTTGTGTCATCTTTATATTTTAAAAACATGAATTCTCCTGGCTCATTCAAGTTATTGTTAAAATGGATAATTTTGAGACATCTTCCAGAGATCTCTCCTTAGTTGCTTCCAGTCTTTTGATCAGACTTGTTGGTGGAGTTAATGACTCAGTCAGTTACTAACAAAACTCTGTAGCATCTAGCACAGGTAGCCATCGCAGCCACAACCATGTCAGGAGAGCCTTGTTAGTTCCCTCGCTGAAACCCAGACATTCTATGCCCACAGTATTTTCATGGTCTACTAAACCACTGAGATAGGAAGATAAGGTTAGTTTGGTGTTTCATTTTCTCATAAAGACATCTGACTCCTAGAGATTTCCATTTTGGATTTCTAAATAATCAAATTATTTGTTTTTAGCCTCAAAAAACTGATCAAACTGATCACCTCCTAACCAACAAGTATAATACGCTTCCACAATTGCTATTGGAGGGTCTGCTACATCCCTGATAATCTGCTGGGCCCGGAGTGTATAAAAAAGTTAAACTCTAGAGCAGTGTGTTTTTCATACTGTGCATCATGGCCCATTGATGGGTTGTCAGATGAATTTGGTGGGCCACAAAAAACATTAAAAAAAAAAAAAGGAAACAGACTAAATTAGATTATAAAATATTAGAGTACAGTTTAGTGAAATAAGACAGAGAAAAACAAATACCATATGATTTCACTTATATATGGAATTTAAAAAAAAACGAACAAATAAAACATAAACAGACTCAGAGATACAGAGAACAAACTGGTGGTTGCCAGACAGGAGGTGGGTGGGGTGATGGATAAGAAATGTGAAGGGAATAAGAGGTACAAGCTTCCAGTTATGAAATAAATGTCATGGGAATGTGATGTACAGCACAGGGAAAATAATCAACAATATCATAATAACTTTGTATGGTGACACATGGTTACTAAATTTATGATGATCAGATGGTAAAGTATATAAATCACTTTGTTGTACACTTCAAACTGATATAATATTGTATGTCAACTATACTTTAATAAAAAACATTGGCGTACAAACATGGATAATTATTATAGCATTTATTTATTTACTTATTTATTTATTTATTTATTTAGTGTAATATGTATATGTGCAATTGAGTTGTGATGGAAAATGTATTTCTTATTGCATGTCACTATCAGTAGTTTGAAAGAGCCTGCACTAGAGGAAAACAAGGATAGAGAACCATGTCAATACCCTTTGGGACATACTATAATAATTATATGCACGAGGTGCTAATGAGAATGGGTGTTTTTGTTTGTTTGTTTGTTTTTGCCTTGTTTTGTTTATTATTGCTTTGGGTTTTTTGTTTGTTTGTTTTGGTTCAAATGATCTAAATACTGAAAAATTTCCCCGAACTGTTTGCCTTTTTTTTTCCAGGAGTTTACCACTTTTCACATGGCTTGGTTGGGTTGTAAATATCTTCCTGTTGCCCAAAGCTCATATAATAAGCTCTTAGAGCCTAGCAGACAGAGGCAGGCTTTCCGTTCCCAGTCCACAGAGCCCAGCTTGGCATCTTTTCTTAACCAAAATAAAGGAGTCCTTATCCAACTAGTATGTGGTTTACTAGCATCTGTATCCTAGTTTGGGCTAGCTTGAGAGAGCTCGTTGAAGCCAACACTAAATATTGTTGTAGTTTCTATTTTAAAATATCTACAGTTTCTTTAAAAGCATATCCTTCTTTTGCCTTCTCAAAAACTATTTGCTAAAAGGGCTTTTTCAGAATATTTACTTCATATCAACTACCCCTTACTGGTTTCCTGAAATGTGATATGAAAATCCAAAACTCAACCTTCAACCTATCATGGTGCCTGATATATAATGGCCGTCAGATGTCGGGTTCTATTGTATTGATCACAAGGGAAGGGAACGTAGAAAATGGTACAGAGGAAGTATAATTTTGAGTCATCACCCCAGAATCTTGCCTTTTTTCCACTTGTACAATTTTTTTAAAACACTTTTGCCAAAGATTTACACAACTTTTTAAATAAAAACTCAAATCTAGTTTCCCACCGTGACCCCAAAGCTATGGAATTCTCTGTTAGTACCTTGGCTTTGTATTTTCTTCCACCTTATACTTGAATGTTGTAATTTGTCATTTAGTCCAACCCATATGAATCTAGATTTTCAAGAAATAAACAAGAATGGGGATATCGCAACATTCACTGACTGAGCATCTGTTTACTTTTCCTTGAAACCAGAATAAATTGCAAAGTTAAGGGGAGTTAAGGTGGTGCTAGATATGTAAAAAGACAGATAAGCAATCTTAGGCAATAAATAAGCAGTTGAACAAACATTAGAAAATGACAAATAAACAAATGCTCCTCAATAAGGGACTTACTAAATGCTTTATTTCATTTAATCCCCTTAAGGAACCCACAAGGCAGGGCCTGTGTTTAGTCCCATTTTTTAAGTGATAGAAACTTTGGAGAAAGTAAGCAACTCTGTACAGTCTCATAAGCTCTTAACTGGTACTACTAGCACTTAGACCTGGGTCTCAGAACCAGATACCAAAGTAAAATAAAGTAAATTCAATTCAATTAAGAAAAAATTATTGAGCAGTTACTATGAGCTTGGCATTGGGGAGGATATAAATATGAATAAAACAGAAACACAGGCCTTACTGTTGATGAGCTTACCTGTAATGATTGAAAGTGGGTGTGTGTGGAATTGTAATAGATATATACAACGTCAGAGGGGCAATAGATTGGAGGAGGGAGGTTATCACTTTGTGAGGGGTGAAATGTATAACTACTACATTGTTTTGTACACCTGACACTAATAAAAAAATACAGAATAGAAAAATAATAAAAATGAATAATGTTTATAACCACAGGACCTAGCCAGAAATACTTAATACATAGACACATAATAAATACCTATTGAATAAAAGAAAAAAGAAAAAAGAGAGTGGGTGCATGTGACATGAGCTTCAGTTATCATTAGAGTAAATGCTACAGGAAAGGTCTGATCCAAATGCTATAAGAGTGCAGGGGAGAAGGTAGTCATTGCTGAGAGCAGTCGGGGAAGGCTTCAAAGAGAATGTGACATGTGAGCTGAGAACCCAGAGTACCTAAGAATGGTCGGGACCAGGGAAGGACATTCTCGGCAGTGGGCCACGTATATCCTGTTAGGCTCTTAATCCTGTAACAGAGCTGAGTGTTGGGGGGTGGCTGTGGGCCAGGACACAGTGCAGGGAAATTGGAAGGCACGGCTGAAAGGAAGCAAGCAAAGTCAGTACATTGCAGTCAGGGCGAAAGGGCTTTGAATGCCACACAAAAAACGCTGATGGCTTTTAAGCTGGGAAATTATGTGATCATATTTGGATTACACTGTGGAAAGCTGTTGAGATGGCGGAGACAGGATTCTAGCCAGGTTTAGACTGTAACAGACCCAGACAGAGGAGCCAAGGGCCTACACAAAGGGAATGGGAGTAGATACAAATGAGGGAGCAGATTTGAAAATCATCTGAGTTGGGCCTTGGTAATACGCATAGTGAGGAGGAGGAAGGAGCTGGTGACTCAGTGCATCTTGGAAGGAAATTATTATGTATATGCTCTAGGCCAGGGTCTGTACTGGGCTGGAGGGATTTGCAAAGATACACAAGGTCATCTCTGGCCTCAGGGGACCCAGACTCTCATTTCTCAGGGGATGCAAATTCAGGCAGAACCCAGACAGGTAAGATAAATGTGTGAGGAGCAGGGTGTAAGACGGGGCAAAGAAGTAGGTGCTGCAGCCCTGAGGTGTATTTCCTGCCACAGGAAGGGAGGTTCAGAGTAGATTAGAAACAAAAGGGCTGGCTTAGTGGAGCTGGCTGGATCCGACTCTCCTCAACTTGTGATCTCTAGAAGGGCTCCCAAGTTTCTGCTTACAGGAATCCAGTACATAGTTTTGCTGTTAATTTAAGAATCCAGTTGGGGAGACGACGGTAAGGAGAGTTCGCATTGAAATATACTGGCTTTGAGGTTCAGAAGAAGGAAGCTGAAAATATGGCTCTGGAGCTCAGCGAAGAGGTTTCAGGAAAGACGTAAGGGCCTTCTTTGGCAGGATTAAGTTTCTGTGTGAAGAAGAGAACTGCAGATGTTTTAGATTTAGACTGTCTAGTCAGATGGTAATTATACCTTCTTTGTAATCAGTCAAGGAAAGCTTCTTAGAGGGAAAGGAACTATTCAGAAACTATGACAATTAAAAAGAAGAAAGCTTGGCAGGTTAAGAGGAGACCCTCTAGCCACCAGGGAGGAAGAGGGTGTGCAGGACAGTGGATGATGGTGGAAGCACCGAGTACAGGTGCCCAAGAAACCCAGAGGGCACCCGTGAAAGGGAGGGAAGAAGGGAGAGCAGGTGGGAACACGTGGCCTGTGTGCCCCTAGATTTCCCATTGCATCTGAGCCACCTGTCAATACACATTATCCTTGATGTTTTTCAGGGTGACGACTCAGATGAGGAAGATCTCTGTATCAGTAACAAATGGACTTTCCAAAGAACCAGCCGCCGGTGGTCTCGCGTGGACGACCTCCACACACTGTTTCCTGGGGGAGACAGAAATGGGTCATCAGGAGACATTAGGATGAGAAACACAACCAGCAGTGAAAGTGTCCTCACAGACCTGAGCGAGCCTGAGGTCTGCTCCATCCACAGTGAAAGCAGTGGCGGGAGTGACGGCCGCAGCCAGCTAGGCAGCCAGGGCGCTGGCCGGGAGGCATTCGACTGCTCCGGGCAGTACGGCCCCGACGGCAGCCTGGTCATGCTGGATGCCACGGCAGTCAGCAGCAGCCTCCCACAGTCCCCCAAAGACATGCTCAACCACTCTTTCCACCCAAAGAATGAGAAAACCAGCAGGGCCAGGGCCAAGTCATTTTTGAAACGCATGGAAACACTCCGAGCGAAAGGAGCACACGGGCGGCATAAGGGGCCTGGGCAGACAGGGGGCCTGGTGATCAGCGGGCCTGTGCTGCAGCAGGAGCCAGAGTACTTCAAGGCCATGCAGTGCATCCAGATACCAAATGGCGACCTCCAGAACTTGCCCCCAGCCACCTGCACCCAAGGGCTTCCATGCTCCAACAAATGGAGCGGCGAGAGCAGCCCATCGGAAAATGGCAGCAGTGGGCTGAGCACACCAGGCCTGAAGGAACGAAAATGCCAGGAGGCCAACAAGCGCGGGGGCATGTACTTGGAAGACCTGGATGTGCTGGCCGGGACAGCACTGCAGGATGCAGGCGAGCAAAACCACACGCATGAGTTTCATTCCCAGGAGAACTTGGTCGTGCATGTTCCCAAGGATCATAAGCCAGGAACGTTCCCAAAGGCACTGTCTATCGAAAGCCTCTCGCCAACAGACAACAGCAATGGGGTGAACTGGAGGACCGGGAGCATCTCCCTGGGCAGACAGCAGGGCCCTGGTGCCAGGGAGCCCCGGCTCATGGCGTCCTGCCACAGAGCAAGTCGTGTCAGTATCTATGACAACGTCCCAGACTCCCATCTGTATGCCAGCACAGGAGACCTTTTGGACTTGGAGAGAGATGATCTTTTCCCTCATTTAGATGACATTCTGCACCACGTCAATGGGCTCCGAGAGGTAGTGGACGACTGGTCAAAGAACGTCTTGCCTGAACTACAAACACATGACACGTTGGTTGGAAAGCCTGGCTTATGTCCCTTCCCATCTTCTAATCAGGTCACCCTAGATTTCGAAGGCAACTCTGTCTCCGAAGGTCGGACAACACCCAGTGACGTGGATAGAGACGGAACATCGCTTAATGAGTCTGAGGCCACAGGGGTCAGAGAAAGGAGGGACTCTGGGGTGGGGGCCTCCCTGACCCGGCCAAACAGGTTGGTAGCATGATTTTGTGAAGTGATTTTTAATCCACTTCGTAATACTCATTGTTTGTTTATTTATTTAACAAACATTTCAAGAGCACTTACTAAATGCCCGACACTATTGGCAGTGGTATATGCGATTAGGAATCATTTGAACAGAAGTATGTCTTTTGTTCAATTTATAATATGGTGATTGAATACATGTTAATTCACGTTCATTTCTCTGAGTGTTTACCTTTTAATTCAACCTTAGTTTTATTTTATTTTTTTAATATTTGAGCTTATGTGCAAAACACTATGCTGGGGACTGTTCAGGAATCACTGACAACGGAGGCCCAGCACCTGTACACAGGTGCTGCCCAAGACCTTGCAGCAGTATTCATTCAAACGTCTCTACCCCAAACATTAAACTTTTTTTTTTAACTCTATGCAAAAATTCTGAGATCTGAGGTGTGTACTTCATAAGTTTATTTTGTCTTGAAAATGCCAATTACAGAGTACATAAAAGCTGTTTTACAAATACCATTTCAGAAGTACCCTGGACAAACTGTCCTGGATGGGCCTAACAAATAAAAAGAGTAAAATGTGTGTGCTGCTGGGTTTCTAGTTGAGGAAGTGATGTCTTTTGGGGTTCACTGATATATCATCACTTCAGGACTGTTTCATCTGTGCTTGTCACCTTCGGGCTCCATGTCAGCACCAAACGCGAGAGTACAGAGACAGGATGGCAATGTGAAAATATTTTACAGCTACCAAAACTGAGATCTCTCTCTCTCTCTCTCTCTCTCTCTCTCTCTCTCTCTCTCTCTCTCTCTCTCTCACACACACACACACACACACACACACACACACACACACACAGAGTCTCAGATGCTTTCAACACTTTGGGAATGAATTTAGGAGTAAACAAATAAAATGTAGTCTATAACTTATTCAAATCTCCTAATGAAACAGAGATGATGACTTTTCTCCAGAATGATCAGACTTGGAAATAGTTTCTTAAGTCTATTCTGTACATGTGTGTCTTCTGTCCCATTTACTTTGTGATTTTTCTTGTCTTGAAAACTATTTTGATTAGCAACTTAAAAATTAGTGACAGCCTATGTTTCCCAATAATAAGTCCACTTTGTGATTCCTTCTCTGACTGTCTTTCTGGTAAAGGCGACTTCGATGGAACAGTTTCCAGCTCTCCCACCAGCCTCAGCCATCCACGGCATTGCCCCACATCAGCAACCAGACGGCCGGCCAGCTGAACCTGCTCCAGCGCTTCTCGCTGCTTCGCCTCACGGCCATCATGGAGAAGCACTCCCTGTCCAATAAACACGGTTGGACGTGGTGCGTAGCACAGCCCCTTGGGAGGGCATCATTCGTTCTAGAGCTAAGTATGCAATTGCAAAAGCTTCAGTATTTGCTTTCTGATTTCTGAAGGACCCACTCATTGCCTTCAATGCTGATCTAATGCCCAGAATCCTGCCTTACTGTCTGCCTCCTGGGCTGTCTCAGCTGCCGGAAGCAAGGCTTTATTTGTAGCTCTCCGTCAGTGTCCAGGGAAGGCAGTCAGGCTCCAAGGACAAAAGACAAGTAAAGGATGATTAATTGTGAACAGAAGAGTTAAAAATAAACTTGCCATAAAATAACTCTGGCCATTTGCTGAGAAACATCTGTCATTTGTACCTTTGGGCCAATGCAGAGCTCAACACTTACAGTACTGATTCATTCAAAGAGCATTTCATTCTTCAAGTACACGTCTGCTTTTATTGCATTAGCAGATAAAAGCAAGAATATGCAGTCAAACCTTTGTAAGAAGGAACTGACAAAAGCAGATGTTGGAACTTGAATGTGGACCTATTTTAGATGATTTGGTGGATTTGAAAAAATAGAAAATGTGTCACTAATTGTCCTACAGTATATAGTACATGGAGAGAAGAATTAGCAATGCTTTTATAAAAATATTTTAGAAAATTATAATTTGCATGATCAAATTAACATATGCTTGTGTATTAAAATTTCCTTTAAAAACTACAACTGGTTCTAGAAAATCATAGTAAAAAAAATGTGTTTTATCTTTTCTACCCTCATATCTCCCCCAGCCCACCCAAATTAATTCTTCTTGTTGTAGTTTTTAAATTTGTTTTGTCTTGGGGACTTTTAAGTGGTTATTACTTGAAAGATGTGTAAGTCACAATCAAATTAGAAAGTCAAACACTTGACTTGAAAACAGAGCCATAAATCCATCTGCTAACGTGAATCATGCTATTTAATAGTTATAGTTCCAACATAGGCAAAGGGCACACATAGTACTTCCATGTGCTGTGATTAATTAAGAGAGAAATGTTGAACTCCCCCATGCCTTCTGGGTATTCCAACAAAAGCTTGGCTTCCCTCTTGTTGCTTTCACAGCCTCTCCCCACAGTGGGCCCCAGGAGGCTTGATGACCTGGTTTCTGTGAATTCTAGGTCAGTTCCAAAGTTCATGAAGAGGATGAAAGTTCCTGATTACAAAGACAAGACTGTCTTTGGCGTCCCTCTCATAGTTCACGTCCAGAGAACAGGACAGCCCCTGCCTCAGAGTATTCAGCAAGCACTGAGATATCTACGCAGCAACTGCCTTGATCAGGTACGGTGGGAAATCCCAAACACAGGCTTGGATTCATGGAACTCCAGACAGAGTCAGATCTGTCCAGTGTCAGATTGGACATGCCTCACCGAAAATAAAAGGCATTGGGGTCTTTGTAGGTTAATATTTAATTTGAAGAGGCTACATCCTTATCAAACTATTTGAGGATGTTTCCTCAGTGACACCTTGAATGACACGCTGGTGGTGACTGCAGAAAGTTGATGTTAACCGTTTGCACTTGCGATGTCAAATGTGCATTCCCTAGAAACTATATACCGCATTTTCTTTTTAATTATTGTCCCAATGCCACCATTGATTTCACAGCGTTCTTTTTAGCCATGTTTTATTTTTTTGAAAAAAGAATTTATTTTTATTTCTCATTTTATTAACTTTTTTTGATGTAGCACCATGACCGGGAAAACTTAAAGCAAAGACAAATTTATTTACATCTCTTTAAAATGTGCAAGTAAAATATGAAAACAATATCAGCTAAATCAAATATCCCCTCATCTTGTAGAGTCGATCAAAATGCTCCCACTATGCAAAATAATGTGGAGATCATTTTGTGTCACCAGAGCTGTTGGGGACCCCCACAATGGTGGACTATGATTGAGCCCAGAGTGCAACCCATCCTATAACTTACTAGACCAAGCCTTTGTTCCCCCAAGTTAACGCTCATTAGTTTCTTAGACATTCTTTCTAAAATAAATGCTATGTTCCCGCTTGATAAATTGCAATCTTGAGCAGTGAAGGTATTTTCAGGCAACTATTCTATGATGGCTTTTGTTCACTGTACTCTTTAATACCGTGAGAAGAAACCTAAAATTATTTGCACTTTTTATTGATTTACCCTTAGCCTTGGGCTCGGTGGACAAGAATGAGCTAAGCTACAAGAGCTCAAAGTTCATGACTACTGATGTCTGTATCTCACTGGGATCGCACTTAGCATCAGGATGGTCTCATGATGAATCAGATACCAGTTTTCAGTGAAACAGAATAGGAATAATTCTTTTGATGCCAGTTTTGCGTCAACTAAATGTATGATCTCCTTTACCCCTCCTACTCCTAATAGAGAGAATATACAGACAGACATTTTTTTTATATTTAAATGTCATAGTGAAGAGCAGGAATGGTTGCTGTTATTGGTGTTGTGGTGATGGCTGTTTTGTTTTGAGAAATGGCCTTATTGGTTTGGCTGTTATTTCTCGGGAAAAAAAGGCAATAGACCACTTGTCTGAAACTATGGTACTTATCTTTGGCAGATGCCAAACATGGACTTGTGAATAACATCACAGTAGAGCAAACCAGTGAATCTGGTTACTGAAGCTTTAAATTTTTATTTAATTTTTTAAATTTTAGAGCTTTCACCAAAAGCACACATTAATCAAAGGTGGATAGATGATCTATGGGTATTTTATTAAGAAAACTTTTTGGAGAGGTGGGCTTAGATGAATATTTGGAAATTCCCACTGTAGTCCCTTTCACAGCCCTGAAAGTATTGCAACCATCCCCTTTGGCAGAGGACTTTGTGGCCTCAATTGTGTTTTTGTTGGTTTGTTAGTACAAGATTATGTTTTGTGGAAGGTAGACTTTATTCAGCCATGTGTTTTTCCAAGCTTCTTAATTTTTATAAGGATATATAAGACTCACTCCCACTCTTGGCTGATTCTCTTAGAGCATTTGGCTCTGCATTCTACCAAGCACAGAAAATATTTTGTTCCAGACAGACTAATGAATGGCCAGCTAATGCTTATCAGCAAAAACTCTATTATGAGAACAGTATTTGTTCAGGAATGCCTAAAGGAAATTTAGGCCATCTATGCCATTAGCTGAATAATAATAGTAACCTTTCTTGAGTGTCCAGCATGTTTTAGGGATCATACTAAGTGTTTTGCATTCATGGCCTCATTTAACTCCACATCTGCCCTGGGTGTTGTTATCTCCCAGGTGGTGATGGTGGAGCCAACAACACTTGCTTGAATATCTGCCTGACTGCAGAGTCTACATTTTCAACCACTGCACTCTATTTCCACCCATTGGAATTAGTTGTCCCTAGTGGACTTTGGGGTGATGCCATGTCCAGCATTGAGGGGCACTTTGAGAAGTGGCCCTAAACAACTCATTGATGAATTTGCCATTAGGATTTTGTTGATGATGTTGATCATTACATTATATAGTGTCCTTTGTGAGAATGAAAGAATTTTTTCTCTAGCCCCAGCACCTGAAAGCATCATGTTGTTTTTGGACAATTGGTCTGTTTTTATATTAAGTGCACCAGACTTATTCAACTAAGTATGTTTTCCTCTCTATATTGGCTGCTGGAAATATTGGAGCCCAATGTGTGTTCTACCTATAGTAAATATATGTGATTTTTTTTGTCACGAATGTTGTATATTCACTTCATTACTAGTTTCAGCCACCTCTTCTATCTTTATTTTCCTTTTACTCTAATTTTCTCATATATTATCTTTAATTGCATCATGTTATATTTTATAGATCATTGTGAGTCACCTTGAATTTCTTCTTGAACAAGATAGGGTATCCATGGATGAATTGTAATACTACTGCTCTACTTACCACAGTCTTTAGTGTAGACAGGAAACCAGTCATCATAGGTTCTAGAATGTGCAGCACCAGTATCACTACTGTTATTGGGTCCAGTCTCCTGTTTGAAGCAAAAGTCATATGAATAGAGAGAAAGCTAGTGTACACCAAAACCTCCTCAATCCATACTCACTGGCTTATTCTCCATATCAAGCCTATAACTATTTTTTTAATGTGGAAGAATGGCACACTGAAAAACGATATGCTGGCAAAGCTTTGTATGAAAGACTCATTTCAAGGACATAAATACTGATTCTAAGTGTAACCAAAATGAATAAGACAACCCTCTCTCGAATCAGTCAAAAGTAAGAATCTATGAGATGTCAAAGGAACTTTGACCGTCGCTAGTTACACCTTATGAGGCATTCAACACCAGCAGGGGTTCCCACCTTATATGTCCCTCCCCTTCGTCATCACAGAGTGTGGAAAGCACCCAGAGGCCACCCCTCTGGTCCCTGTGAAGAATGAGGCAGTAACAGAAAAGGAACCGGGGAAAGCTGGAAAAACATAATGAAGAAAACCAGGCTCAAGAGGGAGACTGTCCTGGAGACTGTAGAGTGAACAAGAGCAAATAAAAGCGAATGACTCAGAAAAGAAAGAGGGGGCAAGAATAACAAGGAAGGAGCGGACATGACACTAGACGAATGTTCTTTCTGCACCAACAGCACCTCCTTTGAACTGAAAAGGTTCAGGTCTGCACAGGACCCAGAGATCTCAGCCCCAGCCAGAGTCGTAGAAGACCAGAACATCTCAGAATATCCTTCAGCTACACTGCACATAAACCACTGCATTGCCTCCCTCTGCATGGTCCCCTGGTACCACCATCCAGGACTCTCCCTAGGCTTTGCCGTTGAAGGCAAAAGACAGAGAGGCTTCCTGCCGTGAGCTGGGCCCCTTCCCCTTGTGCTCAGCATTCATTCCTCTGCACACAGGCATTCATCACAAACAGTGGAAGACAGAGCCCTGAAACACTGCCAACATTTCACCTCCTACACTCTCAAGTTCAGAGCGGCTTATATATGATGAAACACAGTGCATCCATTTTCACCCTTGCAGCTGGCTGCAGATGAAATAAGGAAGTTAAGCCTTCAATTATGAACCATTTGTATTCAGACAGCAGTGTGTGAGCATGGTCTTGCTTTGTGGGCTGAGCTTTTAATTCTGCCCTAAACCAACTGTGCACAGAAGGATAGGTTCTATCTAGCTCCTGCAGAACAGACGGTCACTGCAGGGAGAGGCGACCCCTGCAGCGCTCACCATCAGAACCCGCTGCATCACATTCTTAGGGCCCTTTCCTTCTGAACAAAACCAACCTTTCTTCATTAGCTAGGTACATTTCTAAAGAAGAGGAAATGGAAGTCCTGATAAACATCATTAAGTACTGGAAAGATTAGCATAAGCAGGATGCCAAGAGACGATTTAATATTATTGAGCTGAAACTTGAATTCTAATGCAGCACTCATGCCCAACCTCTCCTTCTAATGGTGTAGCAAGTTTTAAAAGCCCAATTAACCTGGGAAGACACTTTATCATACTCAGTACAAGTGTCCTCAACCCACTGCCTGTTCATCACTTTCCCTGTTACCTACCTCAGATGTGATCAATGAGGCTCTGGAGCCTATCTATTTCAATTATACCTCTAGTGCTTGGTTTTTTCATAGCTGAGTTTAGGTGGAAGACAAAAACAGAGAAGAGAGAAAAACTAGACAAAAGAAGCACCCACCATGCATCCTTTTACCTTTAAAATGAAAGATCATGTGCAAGAGTAATGCTTATAAAATGAATTGTGCATTGCTGACCACCATTCTTCCCTGTTCAGAGAGTCTGTGTGAGCTGTGCTTTAAAGGTCAGTGAGAGCAGGACCTGCTATGTAATTTGCAAAATGACCATGTGAGATTCCTTGTTCATAAGTTAAGAATTTCAAAACGGTGACAGAGTGTTAAACCAAGCATGGGGCCCTGTGTGACTACCCAGGTCACCTGCCCACCAGTGACAGACATGGAGACAAATTGTCCTTGGGTTTTCCTCTCATGAAGCTCAGGGATAAGGGCAGCCTCCTTCAGTGGAGCCCTTAGAAGCAACGGATTTTTTAACAGTTTCTTCAGTTCTCCATTTTTTACTTGGAAAACAAAACATTTAACCAAAAATGCAAATTTTATCACTGCTTTGGAAAGTTTTCAAAGCAGAAATGGTTATTGGCACTGACTCATGCCACCACCCAGGGTTGTTCTATGAAGGCTGGTAGGAGTTCTCTCTGGTCTAAGGACCTTTGCACCATTAAAAGAAACTTCCACTTATTGTGTACAGCGAGTTTTCCACTAAAAGTAACAGAAGCCCTGCCCCGCAAATGGCTGAAACCGTACGAAATTTGTGAGCCACCTAAGAAGTCAAGAAGTAGGGTGGTTGCAGGGTTAGTTCCTCCATCAGCTCAGGGACATTTTTGAAGCCTGGGGCCCTTTTCACCTTTCCCTCTGCCACCCTCAGCTATGACATCTGGAATCTGGTCTGATTTCAGACCACCTTTTCCTTATTAGGTTTAGGAAAGAAATTTCCTTCTGTGCTTCCAAGAAAAATCCATAGAACCCACAGATATTTCCCACGAACCTTGGAAGACGAGGGTGGGACAGGAAGGTTATTGTCAAAGTCGAAGGCAGAACAAATAAATACCTGACAACTCTCTGGACATCCTGTGAGATCTAAGTCAGAACAAGCAGCTCAGAGCCCACAGCTGGAGTGCTCCAGACATGTCTAAAGTAATTAAAATAGCAATGTTTGCTGAAACCAGAAAGAAAGTTGGAAACACAACAATACACAGAAAACAGCGCTGGGATGTGTGTGTACAGGCACATCGGTGTGTTCCAGAAACCAAGCCAGCAAGACGCAGTGGACAAAAGAGGAACCGTGTTCAGCAATTTTCACACAAATACTTATCTGCTTTGTTCCTTTTATAGATCCCAATCAATATTTCTCTGCTGTTAAAAAACAATAATCACAGGAATGCTCCGACTGAATAACACTAACTCACATGAGTTGTAAGAATAAACGTTTGTGAGTCACACTTAAGAATTCACCTTTGGGCTCCATGATTCTGAGAACTCCTGTGCAGACAGCCCAAGGCCTGGGCCCCCTTCCAGAATGAGGAGAGTTGAGATGTAAACAATTCAGGCTGGATCTCACTTCAGTAATCACTCATTTGACATCTTGAATTTTTCTTTTGACAGTACATGCTTTCTTCTCATGCACTTTGATGAAATTTGGAATAGTTGCCAGAGGAAGATAAATATTCTTTAGATTCTTCTTGGAGAGTCACCTAAGTATGGAAAAGTGTTGCATTTTCTAGACATTCTAAACTTGAAGGATAAAAGAGAAAAAAGCAGTTAGCGTTTTAATATGACAATATGCCTGAATATTGTGATCTGCGGAATTAGGGTGATAAGCTAGGAATGCAAAGATGTGTTACTAAGAATTCTGTTCGTATTGCTACAGAAAGTACCAGGGTATCGTTTCCCCTGCGATCCATTCAGCTGACATATACAAAAACCTGAGTATTCTCTAATTGCTTGGAATTCTGCCCTTGCTGTTACTGCAATTTAAAAGAACCAGGGCTGCTCTCCATTTACAGCAGCAACCAAGAGAGCTGTCCTCAGACACCAGGACTTGGGTGGAGGCCTGCCTGGCAGGTGGGGCAGCAGTGCGGCCACCCAGCATGTTTCTCCAGGTCCAGGGAGGGGGCCGCTGCTTACCTGTCCGACCACTTGAGAATATCCCCACCTTGCTTTTAGGAAGTGAGCCAACCTGGAAGCCCTTGGGGCATCTGAAAAGTGGAGATTGAGGCTGAAAGGGCCCAGTTTGGAGCAATTCAGTGCCCTACACGCATTTAAAAATAGCAGACATACAAAATGTATAGTCACAGGATGTAAAGTACAGCATAGGGAATATGGTCAACGGTATTGTAATCGCTATGTATGGTGTCAGAGGGGTAGTAGACTTTGTATCCCTGTGTGAGGGGTGTAAATGTCTGATCATGATGTTGTTTTATACACCTGAAATTAACTAAAATAAATAAATAAATAAAATAGCAGATATACTCATTCACTGTAAGTGGGACCCAAGTTAACTCAGTTATTTTGGGGGTGAGGGGGCAAGGTCCGTCCAGACTGCACAGAGTCTAGAGGGCCTGGAGTGGAACTTGCCAACCACTGCAGGCGCCTCCATTTTCATGGGCTTTGCTTCACCTCACTCATCCCTCTCGGGGGCGTTATCTCCTTGGTGCCTTAATGCTCCATTTATTTGTCAAGCAGGGAAGGAGTCTAAGCCTTAGGGATGAAAAAGGCATAAGGCAATGCCTTGAAGTCTGAGGAAAGGCAAACCAGGAATCAGTCTCACTAGAGCCAGAGCTTATGCACTTAATATCTAACCAGGCCGAGTAGTGTCAGGCATCATAAGAGAAACATACATAGCAAGTGTTACAAGGATTTCAAAGAAGAAAAACAAATAAGACTCTTAAATCAAAATACATGCTTATGGTATTATTTTGTTTCGTGAGCGAATTCCTTATAAACCTCACCCCCAAAGCGACACTAGATATGGCTGCTTATCCAGGATCCACCAAACCTTCCACTGACCAAACTTTCTCAAAACCCCCACTTAAGTGTAAGCGCTAGAGGGCAGGAAATTTCATCTGGTCTGCTCACTAATGCCTCCAGCAACTGTATATAGCGGGTATTTAATCACTGCTTGTTGAATAGATGAATGAAATAATAACATCTGTGTTATAAGACTTTACAGATTACAAAGCACAGTCACATATATTTTCTCACTTAGTCACCACAATAGCCTTGTGAGGTGGGCTATTATTATTCTAACCTTCATCTTATAGGAGAGGAATCAATGTTCAGCTGCTACGCAAAGTAGCTAAACTAGTAATTTCCTAGTTTGGCAGCACTTGCTTCTCGTCCAGCCCTGGTCCCATGCCTTCTCATCACTCCCAAGGTGATTGCCTTAGGAAGAGAATGTCTGGGGCAAAGGTGCCCTCGCTAACATGTCCCTGTGACTTGTTTCAGGTGGGTCTTTTTCGAAAATCAGGCGTGAAATCTCGAATCCATGCCTTACGTCAAATGAATGAGAACTTCCCTGAGAACGTCAGCTATGAGGACCAATCCGCTTATGACGTGGCAGATATGGTGAAACAGTTCTTCCGGGACCTCCCGGAGCCTCTTTTCACCAACAAGCTCAGCGAGACCTTCCTCCACATCTATCAGTGTAAGTGGCAATATGCAGATCAAGTGTTCTCATGTGCACTCGGCCACTTACAAACAATCTCTATAGACTGAGGTTTAATTATATAAGTAATGCATGAATCCATAAAGAAATATATAAAAGTTACTGTTCTAAGTTCCCCTCCAGAAATAAACTTTGTTTACAGTATGATATGGAAATCTCCAGGCCATATTTTATGCATCTGAAAGTACCTTTTTGACGTCAAAATTTTTCTTCACAATAGGGTTTTGTGTAAAATCTAAAACTAACTTTCAGTGCACTTTTAATAAGTTTAAAATCAAAAGGGGACACAATAGAATTTATTTTGCATATAGGTATTTTTTAAAAATCTATTTAATTTTTTAAAAGTAAATGTTTTCTTGGGAAATATGAAATTCAAAGCCAAAAGTGTTAAAATGAGTAGAAATAAAAGACAAATGTATTGTAATACAGTGTGTTTTAATTGGTGAAAAGTAAGCAAACCAAATCAAGGCATGCTTAATTCAAGTAATGTATATTTTCACTTGGAATTGTTTAAGTGATGTTAAATTGATAATTCTCAGCCAAGCCTCTGTAATTAAAATAATCATGAAAACAACAATTTTTTATTAAAAAGCATATCCTTTTAAAGGTAGTTGCAAAGGGGGATATTAGAAATGAACACGGACTCTTTTCTAGATAGGATAATATTATCATTATAAATTATTTTGGTGGTCCAAGTCCCAATTCTGTAGGAAAAAGAAAACATCTGGCCTTTAAGTTTTCAGCAAAATATACCTCAAATGGATCTCTAATGATCTAATTTGAAGGTGATCCCTGCTACAGGAATTTGGCACTAAATATGTTTAAGGAGTCTACACTATCTCAGATTCAAGAAAGATAATAATAAGTACCACTTGTAAAAACAGGATAAAGTAGTGATCCACTAAATAAATATTATTTTGTCAAAGTGAGTAGGTTGAGTTAAATGAATGATACCTGCCTCTAGAGCCCAAACACAGGGAGCTCATGACGTTGTTGCCATAAGAGGTTGAGCTGCATTTAGTCCTCCCTTGTGGTTTGGAAGTACCATATATGAGTCTTTAATCAGTTCTCAGGTTCAGGTTGACACTAGTCTGAGATTAAAGCCAGAGTATTTCCAAGAGATCAATGCCTTTGGCCCTTTCTGAGACTCACCAGCAAGAAACTAAATTAAAGCAGAGTTTGTTCTAGCTGAGCAAACACTTAACTGAGTGCTCCTTACTTACAAGGCACCATGTTGAGCACTGCAGAACACGTGGATGGATGAGACTTAACCTCTGCTCTCAAGGATCTGACAATGGAGGGAGGAGAGACATACACATACATAACTGCAGTCCAGTAAGATTGGAGCAATTCTGTAATAAAGTTACAGAAAGCCAAGGAGGTTGAGATGAGGGGTGAGGACGTGGTGGGAACCAGCTGAACACTGGGATATGTGAGGCACACGTGCTGAGTGACGCCAATAGCCTGAGCTTGTGTCAGTAAATGACAGCTTTCATCTGGCTGGCATGGGTGGTAACTGTCAGTGCAGTACGAAATGACACTGAAAAATTAAGGTGGGGACATACCGAGGAAGGGCATTGACTATTAGGGCAAATAATTCATATTTGGTTTATTAGCATGGGGGAACCACAGGGTGTTTGCTCTCAACTGTAAAGACAGAACCAAAAATCTAACAGTTGTTTAAACAATAAGGACATTATATAACGCACATAACAAGAAATCTGGAGTTAAATAATGCCAGAGCCAGTTAATACCATGATCAACTCAGCAAGACCAAGGCTGAAGTCAGCCTCTCTGGGTGATCCCCTCAAGGTCGCAGTATTATTGTCACAACTTAGAATTATCATGTCCCAAAATCACATTCAAAGGCAAGAAGAGGACAGAGGGCTTCTCCTTGGTCATTTTCATCAGGGAAATAAATTTACAGAAGCTCTTAGTGTCTATCTTGGTCACACAGGCCAGAGATGGTTTGCATGTTCTCCCCTAAATCAACCACTGGAAAGAGGAGTGGAATTAACATTTTTGGTTTAGACCAACATGGTTACCCTCTGAGTCTGAGGGAAGGGCCCAGCTTTCTGGAGCACATTACAGCCCACACCTGAGCAGAACATGTGTTTTCCTATAGAGAAAAAAGGAGAGAGTAGGTATTGAGTAGGTATCTAAGCTTGAGTCTGCCATAAGGGTGCATGTCCATCAAAACCGCTCTTTTGACCATGAATCTGGAAGCATTGAAAAAGAGGTGTTGGGCTAGACAAGAATGGAGGGTTAGGGAGCTAGCACATTCATTGAGACTCTGTATTACCTGCAGTGACTGTCAGCACTAAGACCAGAAATATGACAATCCATGGATAGAGTCCAAGTTTCTAAAATACTACTGGGGAAGGAGAGGCAGTTCTTCCTCCCATTCTCTAGAGCAGTTCTAATTTTAGCTGTGTTTCTTCTTGGATGTTCATCAAATTATTAATTAAATTATTGGATAGCTAATGAAAATATTTGAAACCCACTGGTCTGCAGGAGGAAGAAGAATGGAGGGATCAAAGACAATGCTATAGTTTTAAGGCTCGGTGAATATAGAAAGGAAAGTGGGGTCAGGAGCTGATTTGGGGGCAAGGAGGAGAGAGGTGTTCAGAATCAACTGGAGGTTGATTTTGACATGCTACTAGCTATTCACACAGCCATAAATGATCAGCACTTAGGGATGCATATCTAGAATAGCCTCCTGGGATCCAAGAAGGAGGCAGGACTCCCAGGAGTGTCCTGTGGAACAGGAAGGTCAAAGGATGGGATCCAAAGCGAATGCTGAATTTAGGGATTACTAGTTGACCCTCGGAAATAATTTTAGTAGAAAATAATAGTCAGAATATATTTTCTGAGGGATAAAGGAGCAAATGAGTATAAAGAAAGTTGAGAGAACATGTAGCCTTGGCAGATGACTTCAAAAATTTTGGCATTGAGGAGGAGGTTGGTAATCTAAAGTTAAACAATGTATACGCTAGACATCCTACCTAAACAGCATATTTAGAAGTAGTTCAATGACTTAAGCTGAATTTTAACACTTCAGTGACAAACTTGAAGTCATTAGTAGTATGTGCTTTTGCATCAGCACAAGCAAGAAAAAAGAAAAAGGCTTTACATAATTTGAACAAAATGGTTCTCCTCTACTAAACGCAGGTCTACCTTCAGCCAGTACATTGTGGGTATAGTGGGGGTGGAGATGGGCTCCAGGATGCCGAATGCACAGTCAGGCTTCTCCAGAAATTTGGACTTGCTGACTGACTGGAGCCAGGAGTGTGCTCAGCCCCCCTCGGGGGCTGGGGGATGGTGAGACACGATGATGGAGAGAGGCAGGACCTGGGCAGAGGTCACACCACAGCCCCTCTAGAGCATCAGGCTCCAAATTTTTTTTATCATGCACCCCGATCAGTAGTAAATATCTGAGCATGTAAACTTATTTATTTTTAATAATGTAAATATAATGTGCTCTCCTATGATATACTGTGCACATTGTAAAACACATCCAATCAATATTTTTAAATCACAAGAGAAAACGTAAACACCACTAGACACCTCACTGATTGTCACCAACAAGCACAGTTCCCCACCCCTTTGAGCATAAACAGCCTACTGCAGAGACCTGTTCTAGAACATGGTATCTTAAGAAAGACAAGAATGTGAACCCAAATGAACTCCTGACTGTGTCTTCTAGAATGAGAGGAGTAAGGGCGGTGAGTCAAGCCAAAAACAACACAGCCAGGGGGCAGCAAAACGCAGCATCTAGCTCTCATTTGCAGTGATTTTTGCTTTTAGTTCACTTCATATTGTTAAAGCCAATTGCTTTTTAAGCCTACATCACCAACGCCAGTGTCATCACCACCACAAGGACCCCCGCAAAGGGGAACGGGCCCAAGAAGGGCCATCCGTTCCCCATAACCTTAGGGAGTCTGGTTTCTGTTCCCCAAGCACAGCCTCAATTTCCATCACCTTCATTATGGAACAGGTGACCTTGGGTCACTGTGTGGAGCCACGCGCCTCCTCTGCACCAAGCCCGTGACTTGTAGGAAAGAGGAAGATGTGCCAGGCTGACCCTCAAGGAGCTGACCTGTAGGTGTCTGTTCAGAGTCCAGCCAACCCAACCCCTCCACTCGTGGTTAATTGCACCAAGCTGGCCTCACGCCTGGCTGCTCCACGAGGGGTGGAGAAAGGCGAGGTTGCTGCCCCCTAACAGCAGTTTCCAAACCATGTCCCACAGAGCATGGGGCATCCTGAGGGTGCTTCACAGCTGTGTGGTGGGTGGGTGGGCAGGAGGGAAGCTAGGCTGACAGTGCTACAGCTCACCGCCAACTTCAACCGGAACAGAAAAATGGTTTGAAAAGAGGCAAGCAGGTGGATTGCTCAGGCTATGAGAAGCCAGAACAGGGTGTTCCTTTCCAAAGGCTGCCTCATTGTTAAGACTGTGGGTTCTGGAGTTAGAGTGCTGGGGTTCTTCTCCCAGCTCTGCCTCTCACCAGCTGAGGACAAAGCAATTACTTACCTCTTTGTGTCGTTAGTGGGTGATGATGATGATGATGATGATAGCCCTGAGTGTGTCTTCAGGTCAGGAAGGCGGAGCTTGCTCCCTTTCTCCCAGCTGCTCTTCCTGAGGCTGTTTCTCTAATGGCCTGGCGCCCCCTCTTCCACAGATGTCCCCAAAGAGCAGCGGCTGCAGGCCGTGCAGGCTGCCATCCTGCTGCTGGCGGATGAGAGCAGGGAAGTCTTGCAGACACTCCTGTGTTTCCTCAATGACGTGGTCAACTTGGTGGAAGAGAATCAGATGACACCTATGAACCTGGCTGTGTGTCTGGCCCCCTCTCTCTTTCATCTCAATTTACTGAAAAAAGAAAGCTCCCCCAGGTGGGTTTTTCTCAGCAACAACTGTAATCCTAAACCAGGTATTCCCCACAATTCATTGAAAAATGAAACAAACAACAAAAAAAAAACCCACCTCGTGTTGGATTTCAACATGAGGATTTGACAGCACTTAATTTACAATCAGAAAACCTTTGGAAGTGAACTCATTCACATGCTCAGATTCATAGAATTGTCAAAGGAGTATTGAAGAATGCCATTTGTGATCCAGAAAACCTGAGGGGTTTCGTTTTGTTTTGTTTTTTTTTGTGTGTGAGTGGGAAGAAGGGGACAAGTACACAAAGTAGTATTTACAATCTTTAATAAGAAAAGGGCTGGATTCAAGGCCTAAGCACAGCAGTTTGCAGTGAAGTGGTTTCCAACTTGGGGAAAACATTCATTTCTCCCCCCAAAGTTATTCCTGCCCTTGTATTTTTCCAAGGTTTTCCATTATGAACTGTCAGACTCTCGGCCTGACTCAGAATAACTAAAATGTGTGGTCATTGTTTTTACTGGGAAATGAGAAAGGCTGGGCTCGGGAGAGCATCTGGGGAGCAACAGAAAACAAAAGGGATGAGCTCTGTGTTGGGAAACACGCTTCGATTTGGGATCTGCTAGGACTGTCCCCTTCAATTACAGAGTCATACAGAAGAAATATGCCACTGGGAAGCCAGATCAGAAGGACCTCAACGAGAACCTGGCCGCTGCACAGGGCCTTGCCCACATGATCATGGAATGCGACAAGCTCTTTGAGGTAAGTGAAAGGCTTGCATTGCCTTCCTTATAGCTCTTGGAACTGGATGAGACACCTGGGATAGTGGCTACACTCATGGCTTACGTCTGTTTGTTCCTGATTTTATAATGACAACAGTACACTCTATAACTCTGGTCTTTGCCTTCAAGACAGGTGAGGAGCTAGCTATTTAATTGAGGCCCGACAGTTAAGACACTTGGGGTTACTACCACGATGACTGTTTTTATGAGAACAGTTATATCACCTTCAGTTGCCAAGTTCCAGGCCAGCCAGCCAATTATGTTCTATTTGATTTTAGCTCAGGACTTGATTAGGCTTAACATCTGTGTGTGTGTGTGTGTGTGTGTGTGTGTTAACTAAGAATCAATGATAGCTTATGAATATAACCACAGATAGGTTATAGAAGCAAGTGAACTAGACTTCTGGCATACTTTTTGTGGTCAATTTAGCATTTGTAAATGGGAAAAGTGTCCTAAAATAGTAAAGCTACTTCTAAATCATATTTGACATTTCCTTTAAGTCTATATGCTTTTTTTCCTGAACCCACATTTTGCCAAAATGAATAAAAATACATTAAAGGGAAAATTAAAGGGAAATAGAAAGAATGAATGGGAAGTCATTGCAATGTTTTGAGTAATAAATATAGCCTCAGAAACATATTTGTGTTTCCTGACTAGGAAGCCCCACCCCACCCCCACCACCAGCCTTACCACTGATCTCAGAAAAACATCTCTCCCCTTGGGCACTCTACCCATTTCCAATACATGGTTTTTCACGAGATGACTGCTTTCTCTAACGATTAGTGTCAGCATTCCTTTAGCTCAGTGTTGCTCTTTGGTGCGTCCATTGACTCAGGTCCCACTTGAGATGGTAGCCCAGTCTCGTAACTCGTACGAGGAGGCTGAGATCCACGCTCCGACTCTGGAAGACCTGGGGACCCAGCTGGAGGAGAGCAGGGCCACCTTCCACACATACCTGGAACATCTTGTCCAGGGCCTCCAGAAGGAAGCCAAGGAGAAGTTCAAAGGATGGGTCACATGTTCCAGCACAGACAATACAGACCTTGCTTTCAAAAAGGTAATCTCGGAAGCTGGAAAAAATTACCCCCAAAAAGCCATGTCTGACAACCAGGCATTTATTTTGCTTTAAAAACGGCCACTTTCCACAATGGTTAAGAACTGGCTTGGGACGCCAGAGGGCCCCGGTTTGGATCCCACATATGAGGGCCAGTGACACTGCCCTCTACAGCTAAGATGCTGAACAACAGTTCAACCTGGAGCTGGGCTGCTGTGAGTCGCTGGCGATGGCGTAGGCTGCAGCCCCTGTGGCAGTGGGTTGCCATGGGCTACCGAGTGTAGCCAGCAGCCAGCGTGAGCGGCCAGCAGCCACAGTAAGCGGCCGTCCAGAAGCCAGCGACTGATCTGCCTCACCCAGGAAGAGTGCAATGATGGTGCCAACTTGGGCCAGTGAAGCAACGTCCTCCACAACTAGACTGAAGAACAAAATGACAGCAACTTGCCTATTCCCCTTCCCCAATTCCTCAGCGCTGTTCCCATCCCCCCAATTCCCCAATAAAAAAAAAATCTAAAAAAAAATAAAAATAAAAACGGCCACTGTCCACAGGGCTTGGCACACACGTGAACAGGTCAAAGCCCTTTCTAGGGACTGGCAAGCAACCCTGTTGTACATAAGCAGGGTACAGGCTGTGATGCCAGACTCCTGGATCTCAATCCTGTCTCTACTCTCTTAGCTGTGTGATGTTGGGCAAGTCACACACCTCTCTGTGCCTCGGTTTTCTCAGCTCCATAATGGGCCTAATAATAACTCCATTGTCCAAGGAGGGCTATTTAAAAAGCAAATGTATTAGAACAGCACTTGGCACACAGTAAGCACTGTGTGTGTTGTTGGTTATTATTTGGGTGACTGTTATTATTATTATTACTTTAAGCTTAGGTTTAAAGGTTTAAACCTAAGGTATGTACTCATTCTTTCAAGGTACATAATCAGTGATGTTTTTTGAACACCCAGTGAAACATGTTAGGTTTTTGTTGGAACCAGTTGACCTTCAGCCTTTGATGGTCTTTCCCTAGGTGGGAGACGGGAACCCGCTGAAGCTGTGGAAGGCTTCCGTGGAGGTGGAAGCGCCCCCGTCGATAGTGTTGAATCGCGTGCTGAGAGAGCGCCACCTGTGGGATGAAGATTTTGTGCAATGGAAGGTTGTGGAATCTCTGGACAAGCAAACGGAAATCTATCAGTACGTGCTGAACAGCATGGCCCCCCATCCTTCCAGAGACTTTGTGGTTCTCAGGTAAGCCAGTCTCGGGTTAAATATATCCTGTTTCTAAAGCAGATTTAAGCATTAATCAGCGTTCTACCACCTAAATTCAGCCTGCCCTGGGAATACTAAGCCCGCCTTCTTTTCCCTCAGTAAACACTGACTTTGTTCTATTTATGTCCGACTTCCTGCTTCTTCGCCCAATTTACAGCTTTGTCGGGCTCTCTTATGGACCCTTTCATTATGGAGCATACTGTTTATTAAGCCATAAATATTGTTCATTTCCTCAGAACAGAGTCCCAAGAATAGCTGCTGTTTGTCCAGTTTGTACTCTCTCCTGCTTTCGCCTTTCTCCCTCCAGGAAAGCAAATCTTCAGTTTGTGTAACTCTCAAGCCTGGAGTGTGTGTAATTGCAAATGTCCATAGTTCATTACTATGCATGGAAACCTGAGGTCCCGCTATGCTGAGACACTCACAGATGTCCTGTAAGATTCCAGGGCCTGACCAGGCTTGCACATCTTATATCTACTGTTGAAATACTGCTTCTGATTTATGGATTGGGTTCCAGACCCCTGCTACCTGGGTTTGTAATAGGATGCTCAACCAGTGACCGGAAGTTTGCACTGTGGAGCTGTGTATATGGGAGTCAGTATTGAATCAGAAAGAAGAGGGACTCAGGATGCTACAAAATTCAAATAAAACACAATTAAATCAATATATCCCTTTTTATTGATAACTAATGGCAAACACTCTCTCTTCTCATGGATTAGCAGTGGAAAAGGAATCACTAGTGAAATTCCCAAATGTATATTTAAAACAGTTTCTTCATAAAACTAGTCTTGATGGCAAACCAAAGGTTACTTTTCCCATAAGCTATTTATGCCTTTGGAGTTGGTCCGTGGGACCTTGAGTTTTAAGGGTCATTTTTTTTCTAAATATTTATGTTTATCTTAGCAACCATGGGATCCTGGTGGAGAATGTGGGCATTTATAAGAGTGGCTCATTTCCACAGTTATTGGGACATTAGTCATCTCATGGAAGTTAAACTTCACAGCCCCACTCCTGCAAGCAGCAAATTGAATGGTTCTTCTAGGAGGGCAGCCGTGGGGATGGAGCCATGCCACAGCGTGTCTCTTCCTCCCCTCAGAGGAGGCTGAGGGCCAGAGTCCAAGCATGGAAGCTGCTTCCTTCCATCCATTCACCAACCTGCTGTTTCCTAGAGTTACCATTTCATCACCATCGTGTGCTAGGCACCGTCAGAGGCTCTGGGGGGACTGCAGTGAACACAGCAGACAGCAATGCTGCTCTCTTGGGTTTATATTTCATCAGGGAGAGAGATCACTAAATAAGTAAGAGGGATAGGGAGGATAAGTAAGATAAGGGGAGAGTAAAGGGTATAATTTTAAATATAGTGGTGAGGACAGAGTCTCACTGTTTTGATATTTGATTCCAGACTTGAAGGAGAAAGCAGGTGGACAGTGAGGCTCTGAGGGAAAAGAACTTGGCAATGAACCAGATGTGGTTCCTGCAACACAAATTCCTTGTGGTTTTGATACAAGAAGGCAGAAACTGACAAGTATGGTGAGGAAACGACAGGGCTGGGATGCTTCTGTCTTCAGAGCATCTCCTTACCTAGGCTTGCACGTACATGGTGTCTCATTTCAGGATTACCATGTTTACTTCTCACTTTGTCCCCCTCTGTAGTTCTTCAGGGGTTTCCAGTGCTAGTTACTGAAGATTTTTCCATTTTATCCCCACAGATCTGTCCGTCTTTCAGTCTTTATTATTATGTCTTTATTATCACATTATGATGCTTGAAAAGAGAATGGTCACTGCCCCTGGAGAAGGTGCTAAGCATTTGTGTAGGGCTTGCTTACTCTCAAGTTTTTGCTGGGAATGTATAATAGTTCCTCTTTGTGGTGTCGTAGGACAGGACAAAGTTATCGATGAGACTACGTAAGGGAATGGGATTTGTGGCGTAAATAACTGGGATGAAAATAATAAAACTTATATTTTATGGTAGAAATGGTTTTACACAAATGCTCTCATGGCTTCTGACTTCCATCAACAACCTTTTCCCAAGTAGTAGCCCTCTCTATGCTTGAATAGCTCCAGTAACAGGGAACTCACTACCTCCTCTTACAGACAATTCCATTTTTGGAAAGTGCAGTGTGAGACAGCTCTTCTCTGCACTGAACTGAAAGGTGCCTTCATATCTCTGACTTCTCGGGTCAAATCAACTGTATTTATTTATTCTCTCACTCAAGAGCCACTCAGCTATTTGAAGAGAGTTAGTGGTCCACATGTGACTAGCTTTCTTCAAGCTGAACATCACCAGCTCATTTATCCTTTAAGACTTGAGTTTAGCCTTACCTCCTCCAGGAAGCCTTCCCCTGTATGCCCTCCCTTCCCTTCCACGCAATCCCAGAGTGCTCTGTGCGTAGCCATATCACTGCACTGTCTATGGTGTTTTAGAGTTCTCTTTGTATTTCTGTTTCTCCTCTTGGACCATGTATCTTTGTGTCCTTGGTGGCTTCTTAGAGCCTGGCACATCCCTGTGCTTGATAAATGTTTACCAAATGAATGACAAAGTCTTAATTCCAAAGTTGTAAGACCAGCCCTTCGATAACGGGCAGGCGCTCCTGCAGCCCCAGTTTGGTTCCAAAGGCAGATCTCAGTGCTGGCAGACCACTTCCAGCCTCTGGATCTGAGGACTGAGCCCCTTGCTTTGTACTTCACTGAATAAACTTTACCCACACTTGGGGAAACCATTCGCTTAATCCAAGTAACTAGGAGTGGAATTTGAACAGGAGAACGTCAGTGTAAACGTCGGCACTGAGCTCAGGTCTGTCTTTCTCCCTTTGCCATAACTCTGAGTGTGGGTTGTTTCACTTCAGGACCTGGAAGACTGATTTGCCCAAAGGAATGTGTACCCTGGTGTCCCTCTCTGTGGAGCACGAGGAAGCCCAGCTCATGGGTGGCGTGCGAGCCATCGTGATGGACTCCCAGTACTTGATAGAACCGTGCGGCTCCGGCAAGTCGAGACTGACCCACATCTGCAGGATAGACCTGAAGTAAGTGTGAGCTCCCCAGTGTTGCAGGCATGTTCTTGGAGTCTTGGCTCGAATGGCACATTCGCCAGGGCCCTGTGTGTCATCCTGATTTCTTACCTCACTATACCTCTTTCCTCATAGCCATTAACCTGCTTTCATAGAGGGTTACTTATGCCTCTCTCACTTTTCCTCTTCCCTGCCTTTCCTAAAATTTTGACATTTTCCTGCAGCCCTTTCCTTTTCTCCACTTTCAGTTTTGCACCACTTATTTGTCTGTGCTTCTTGCACGGAGCAAACACAAACACTAGAGTCCAGCACATAGTAGACGCTCGGTAAATGTGAGTCCCCTCTCTGGGGTTTCTTCTATGCCTGCACCCTTTGGCTGCTCCCTCCAGCTGCCCTCCTTTGAGAACAAACTAATGTAAATGCAACCTCTTCGAGGAATTCATGAAGTTCTTGACCTGGATAGATATAAACTGAGTCCATTCGAGATAGTAAATTCTAGAATTCAGTCTGAATCTTCTTAGTGAGATGGTATCATTTTAAAGCACCCAGTGAGTCCTGAAAAGATAGGCTGAATACTTGGGTCCTCAGATCCTGGAGGAGGCAGCCCTGGGTTGTATGCAAGTGTCCTGATGATCAGGGCAGCCCTGCCTACCGTGATGAAGTAATGTGGAAAAAGACTTTCCCACTTCCTTTCTGATTTTTGTCCCCACAGAGGTCACTCCCCAGAATGGTACAATAAAGGCTTTGGACATCTGTGTGCAGCGGAAGTCGCCAGGATTAGAAACTCTTTTCAGCCCCTCATTGCTGAGGGTCCAGAAACTAAAATCTGAGTTTTCCCCAGTGTCACATCAAACTCAGGGAAAAGGAAGCAAAAGCAAACACTTGTGGGAGAGAGCTTGCCTGTGAGAAAGCGACAGAGAGAGAGAAGCTAACTGGCATGGTTAATGCTTAAAATGAAAACACTGAGAAGTCGGAATGTTGGAGATGCAAGAATTTCTGAGAACTTTCCTAGCCTTCCTGGAGATGGCTAAATACCTACTAATATAATATTTTTAAAAATCAGAACATATATCTGTGTTACTTAAAATTAAATGAATTATTCCTTGTGCATTGCCTAATTTGCTATTTAAAGGCTTCTAAGAAGCGTATTCTTAACTGTAAATAAATGTGTGTATAGCATATGTACATATGTGTGTATATCTCTACCTTTACTGTATATATGTAAAGTCGATATTTTATATATAACTGCATATTTTGAAAAGGAACGCATCTGACTCAGCGAGTCCCTTCTCTATGTGGCTCTTTCCGTGTTGCTCTGAGCCCCACTGCCCTGGAAACTGAGCAGAAGCAGCTGCTAACACCAAGGTGGTGTGAGAATTTCTAGCCTGTCAGCCTGCCCTGATATTTAACCAAAGATTAGCTAACCAAAGGAAAACAACATTAAAAGGTATTCTCATGTATTGTCAGCTTGTTTTTGTTATCCCAAAAATCAAGAGCGAGTGTTAGATAAAGCGAGGAAAAGAATATTTACTCCTCTTTAAAGCCAAAAGGTGGGTGAGAAGTCGCTACCAAATTTAAGGCTAGATTACCAGTTGCCACCAGGCAAGGCCAGGTGCAGCTTCAGTGAAATGTCACACTCAGGGACCATTGGAGTCAGCAAGAGTGACAGAAACGGAACCTCTATTTCCCTGCTGATTAGAGCTGACGGTAACAGCCTTTGCATATTCATAGCCAAAGGGAGCCTCTGTGTCTTACCAAGTTTTCATAGATGCTTTCCATAATGTTCTTAAATGTCATTTTGTTTGACCAGTGGCCCATTTGGTCACAGTTAATTGGCATTTTCTTACCAATGTCTTGCACTGAATTTAACTCTGGACACCAGTCAAAGGGAGATGATGGTCATCTAAGGGTCTTAGACCATTACAGCTTCAGGGAATTCTTATTTTGCTGTGTATGATGCTCTAAAGATATAATTCATCCAAGTTTTGCAATCTGAAAGACAAGGTTTTAAACTAACTTAAGACTAAAACTATGTTCTTCAATCAATTTTAGAAAATATAAACAGGTTTGTTAAATCCATGTTTCTTCATTGGCCAGTCAAGCTACCTATGCATTTGACGCAACCCTATTTATTATTGTATAGACTAAGAAAATTGACTTTCCTTAATCAATTGTTAATGAATTTAAATTGTTTTTTATTGTAATTCAACAACTGTGGAGAGAAAGATAATTTATTGTGTTTGGTTTCAGGGAGAGAGATTTTCTTTGGTAATCCGTGAGAGATTGGTATAATAATTTAGCAACTGGGATTGGAGGGGAAAAAAAAAATCTTAAATGAGTGTTTGGTTTTTTTTGTATTGTATGCATTTATGTAATGTTTTCTCTTATCAGCAATGTGCAATTCTTTTATTGAGAGGAATAAAAATGCTATCTATGAGTTCGGTATGGTGCAAGGAAAATCATACTGTTTGAATGATGACCTAGGAATTTTTCTTCCCTTGCCTACCTTAGAAGGTGGCAGCAAAGCCATAGTTTTCCACTTGGGCAATGCTCTTGAGGAAAACCCACTTCTACCACACATCTTAACTTTAACACATGTGCTAGATGACTTGACTGTGCATAGACAAGATCATTAATAAAGCTTAATCCAGCTTAACATGGGTCATACTCCAGAGATGGGACCCGATGTGTTTGGGAACTGTGACGGGCACACAAGGACAAATGCCATTGTATCACCAAGTTCAGCGTGCACACAGGTCACCCAGAGATCTTGTTCAGATCCAGCCTCTGGTCCAGGCAGTCTGGGCCTGAGATTCTACATTTCTAACGGGTCTTGGGGATGCCCAGGCTGCTGGCCCAAAGACCACACTCTGAGAAGCAAGGACCTAGGGGGTACTTACAACAGAATAAAGACAAATGTGATTGTATTTCTGGCTCCCCTTCTCTTCAAATCACCTGACTTTTAAAATTTTACTCACATACTAATCATATCACTGCTGCAGAACAACACAGTGCATCTAAAAAAGGAAAAAGAGACAGGAGGGGAAAGGTGCATCAAGCTTATTGGTCAAATGCCACAGTATCTTATTCATTGTTATCTTGCCAATGGAAATAAAATATGATATTGCATTTAAATATTATATTTATACCTCATGTATATTTTTACCTCAATTGTTGGTATCAGTCATCAATTGTAAATAAATAATTGCCAAGGCAAATAAATTTATATACATTAAATATTTCCTATTTTCTATAAAACACATGTTGATTTTCATGCTTCATCCTGTAGTGGACAGCCTGCTTCATGAGGAATATTTCTAAGACATGAACTGGACCTCTGTACTGTAGTCACTATCTCTCCCACATATAAGGATTTTTTTAGCAACAGACATTCACTAACAGTTGGGTGCCTTAATCTGTGCCTAAGGCATTAAAGAGATGGGTAGGGATTTGTTTTACATTTTATTGTTCTTAAATATGGAAGTTATACAAACACATGTACACTATTTTTATCAGAGTCAGTGAACTCTAGCTATGTTTCATTTTCATTGAGTGGACAAGAAGTTTGGACTTGGTGAAGTGACTTACGGCTGGACGTCTAGACCATGACGAGTAGCCATATTGGACTCTGAGCCTTCCGCCTCCCTTGTACTTGTTCTGTACTTTGCTTCTGAAGGACAAGCAAAGATAGCCCCTAATTAAGCAAGCAGGAGTCCTAAACGTTCTCAGCTACAGGCTGCAAAAGCAACATCAGGCACAATATGCCTCCACAGAAGGTATCCACACTCTACCCTCTGCTCACCTCCTCCACACCTTCTCCCATTACTTGTAAATTTTGTTTGCATAGACGAAGGAGGAATTTCAATTGCCACTTTTCCTTGTCTATGAAAGAAGAAAACATGGTAGTCTTAGGGGCCACAGGCTACTGATGTCCCGATACCCTGGATTATATGAATTCAAACTTGATTCAGCGCATACTCCATGACTCTTAGTATGAAACTGTTCTACTTCTATTTTTTGGTATTTGGCCATGGAAAAACTGGTCAGATGACTTTTCTCAGGGAGATAATGTGAAGGGATAAAACAGACCCCAGCCATGTGGAGTATACCATACTGACACAAAGGCCAAATCAATGTGCTGTTTGCACAAGGAGTTAAGAAACTAAATACCTGCATTTTAATGTTGCAAAGCCATGAAGCGTGAACAACTGACAGTGTGCAACTCTTGGCATACCCTACAGACTATATCCTTTGCACATTGTTCTAAAGACAATTTACTTCCATCCTCACAATCCCATCCAACAGGCCACCTAGGTGCCTCCTACACTCGTCCACATTGTACATAGCTGAAGCTCAGAATCCCAAGTAATTCTGTTTCTCTGAAGCCAGATTTCTTGCATAAAACATTTGTTCACAGGGAACATGTTCACTGAATGCCGAATAGAGGCAGGACACCTAGCAGACAGAGGTGCTCATGGGAAGACAGTGCACGTGGAGCAGAAACAGTGATACACAGCAGCTTCTCATCATTCGCGGTAGTGACGTTTTCTGAAGTTGCCATAGACGCTGAGTTAGCAAATACTAAACCTCTGCTCCTAGCAGAAATACAGGGCTAGGTCTCTGCGAGCCTCCACTTGCAACATTTTTGTCAACCAATCAATATATACCTTTGTTCTATGTGTGCTTCTGTTTGAAGAGGCCTTACTTAATATATATTTCTTACAAATAGTTAATTCTCTGAAGTATTTCTTTATAATTAAACAGTCAAGAAGAGCTTAATATTTTCCTCACTCTGGGTAATATGACTATAAATTTCTTTGGCATTAAGCCTCACAACAATGTGTTTTTTTTATTATACTTTTTTTTTATCCATCGTCATCTCATATCCACAAATTTAGCAGCTTTCCATTTTTCCACAGCTTTATCATGCAGTATCAATGTTACTTTAACACCTTCCAGAACAGTCTCACAAATTGGTGAATTTCACTTTTTCTGGATGTACCATAAGGTCAGTTCATTAACAAATTCACAGCCAACAACAGCACTATAACTCATGCCTGGACAAAGCTTATGTAACACACATATTTTCTCCATAAGACATATCCCAGCCTTCTTGCACTTAGGAACCCTCGACAACACTTCAGCACTACACCCTGGTGCCATTTTAAACAGCCAAATCACCAACAAAAAGCACACAAATGCAAAAAACATGGTACTAAATGGACCATGAATAGGATACTTCTTTACAGCATGACAGCTGGAACAGGAAATCAGAGCCACATTGCTTGATCTCAAGTGGGAATGCGACTCCAATTTTGTGCCACTCTGCACATAGCCAAGAATGACCAGGAAAGCACCATGAGCATTGAATTTGGAATTAGAAATAAATTCTAGTGAGTAGGCAAATTTACAAATACTGGATTTGTGAATAATGAGGACAGGTGTATAAACAATACTCAGTGGTAACTACTGTAACATCTATGGAGCCCAGAGGTGACCATGACCCTCAGGGGTCAGAGGAATGATAGAGAGACCAGTGCATGAAAAATGTGAAGTGTGAGGGGAAAGGATGGGCCTCAGAAGAAAGCTGGCTGTGACTAAAGGTTAGAGGGTACATGAGGATGGGGAGCAGGAGTGAATGGGGCAAGAGATAAAGCAGATGGTCACAAGCCAGGAACTTTTAAGCTGCAGAAGAGACTTTGGACTTTACCTAATGAGCAAATTAGAGCCAAAAAGCAGAGAAGTGAAATCACATTTGTCTAGGTGGTAGACACTTAAAATGGGCTAAAACAGAATTGGCGTATTACTAAGCCCACATATGCATGAGCTGGGGTTTGAAGATGCCCTCATCTTTGCCAGTAATCCTCTCCCCTTTGGTTTCTACATAGACAGAAATAAATAAAATCATTGGTACCACTGGCCTTCCTGAGCTGATACTAATCTATGATAACCTGCCTTTTCTTTCATTCTAGAACATGTTGCTTTCTCCTATTCCCTATTTCATGTGCAATATTTATGTAAATTCAGTAGTCATCTGGGCAACCTCAGAGAAGACACTTTCAAACCAATATAAGACCTACTTAATACCAAGACCCAGGGCACTCCAGGTCAGTCTGAGTGCTATATGGCCCCAAGATGCCAAGAACTGGTAAGATGAGGTTATAGGTGAGATTTCCAAAGACAAACTCCAAATCAGTAGGAAACACTGGATTGGTGGGCTCACTCCCTCTCTCGTTATAATGCCCCTGGCTTGTCACAGGAGGCAGGATGGCCTAGGTGATGAGAGAACTCTGAACCTGGACCACATGCTCATTGAGAGAAGATGTCTCTAATTTGCATAAATTGAGCCTAAGCTGCTGTTTTTCCTCCTTCCATAACTCCAGCATGGCTAAGACCCCTCCTGTGGGCTAGACTGGAGTCTATACTTTTCTGATTAGCCCAGGACACTATGCGTGTTAAAGAGACGCTTCTGGAGGATAACAGCTATTAGAATGACTAGCAGCTGAGTTCAGGATGGATTGGCATGATGAAGGGCAGATTGAGGGAGGATTCATCCAATTAGAAAGCTGTTGTAATAGTCCAGGTGGAAAATATTTGTGGGGAAAGAAGTAGAAAGATTTTTAAAGATATTTCTGAGCTAGAATTGATAAGATTTGTGTATTAGCTGGTTGTGGAAAGGGTGGGCAAATGGAATTAGCTTAAGATGACTCTGAGTATTCTAGCTTGAAAAAATGTGTGTGGCGAGTCCTTTAACTGATACAGGGAAAAGAAGAAGGAACAGCAGGTTTTGTTGCAGGATACTCGGACAGAGAGACAGGACACCAAGGCTCGGGAAGCAACATTTATTGATGCCGGCACAGGCTCAGTGGATTCATATCCAGAGGCTGAGCCCTGATCCAGACAGGACTCGAAGCTATATACCGTGAGGTTTCTGGGTTAGCAGCTAGGATTACTTATTAGGACATGCACATTGTGTTAGTTTCTAACTGGCTCCCAGGTGAGGTAGGAATTAGGAAATGTTAAACGCAGATTTGGTGGCCATGCGGTCTGGGAAAGCCTTTGTCTCGGGCCCTCTGCCACATTCCCCTCTTTGATGCTCAAACCCATACGTGGGTTAGAGAGCATCATCTTCTTCGATGGGCTGTTGGTCTAGGGGTTGGTACTTCCATAACATGAGGACCTTAGCGGCAGTTTGATGTTCTACAATGGCCTCTATGAGGGGAGAGGTGGAGCGAATGACAAGGGGGAGAATGCAGGATAAAAGGAGGCATGCTCCAAGGAGCAGGAGGACGATTCTAATTAATGCTTTAAATCCCCTGAGGGTAGAGAACCATCCCCCAAAGAGGCTTTCGGGGTCCCATCCTGTCCATTTTTTAACTGGGACATGGGAAAGTTTTCTAATATTTGTGGCGATGGTGGAGACGGCTTTGCCAGTGTCGTCAATCTGTAGACAACAGTCTGACTGATTGAATTTGCCACAGACGCCACCTTCTTCAGCCACTAAGTAGTCCAGTGCTAGGCGGTTCTGATAAACAGCGGCCTGCATCTGTGTCTGTTGGGTAGCAAGGAGCTCTAAAGTTGTTGCAGTTTCATTGGTGATTATTTCCAGACAGCCTGTAACCTGAGATGTTGTTTCTAGTTGAAAGGACTGGAAGCATGATTTAGGGCATAAGGTGGTGATACCATCCCCAACTGTGAAGAAAAGGGTGAGGGTAAGGATTAGAGTCCTTGGGATAAGCATCTTGCAAGGAAGAATTCCTCAAGCTTCAGCCACGTGTGGATTGGTCAGCTTCCGGTGGGACCAAAGCGGGGCAGATGATCTCCTCCTAAGAACCAGTAACACCACTGGCCATCTTCCTCCAAAGAGTGATCTTGAGGGGCTCGGAGGGGTCAGAGGTGCAGTCCCAGCTAGCAGCTGCAGGTTTCAATCTGCTGTGGTGTATGCATGGAGTGATCTCTGCAACCTTGACTGCCAAGGGGGTAGACAAAATGACAGTAAAGGGGCCCCTCCACAGGGGTTTTAAAGGGCTGGAGGTTCCATTCCTTAACCCAAACTGAATCCCCAGGCTTAAAGGGATGAGCTTCAGTTGTTAAGCTAATAGGGAGCCTCTCCTGTACCCATTGGTTGAGGTTCTGTAAGGTAGACCCTAATGCCTCAAGCTGTTGTCTTAAAGTTAGGTCTCCTATTTCTTTAAGGTCCCATTGGAGGCCTCTAATGATTGGAGG